TAATGAATTGTCAATTAATTAGTAACTTGTTTCAGGACGTTGTGCATTTATAAAAGTTAAATTTAACAATGATTAATTAATAATTTAAGAACCAAGATAGTGTAAAAATGTTGACTCATTTCTCTCACAAATTAAGTCCAATAAGTGTCCAATGACTACTATATTCCATTTCAGATTATGTATTGCAATATAATTAGCTTTTTAGTCTATGATGATAAATATCTGAATTTACGTAAATCATTGTTAATAATCTTCAGTTGATATTTGATTGATAATTCATGTTATTTTCCTTCACGGGCATGCGACGCTTCATATGTCGGTGTGACAAAGTGACGCCTAGCGCGAGAAACATCTCTCCAAGAATTCGATTTCCCAGCCAATTAAAGGCACAGACGGCATCTAAGGAGGACTCCCGCCAACTAACTTTCAACTCCATTCCCTAATTGTTTATTGTTTCTGGTTCTCAACTCTAACTTCCTCAAACATTTCTTTGCCCAAACTCTTAAAATACTATTACTGAGATGAGATTTCTTAAGTAAATTACTCGTTTTCTAAGTAATTTAAGGGTTGAAAAGTTCACTTTTCCTTTACTATTTGAACTATGTTCATGCCGGAAAAATTTAATTAATTACGACACTTCACTTGATCTGGTCACATACCTTGTTTATTATGTAAAAAAAAAAACTAGTATTTTCAGACGTTTCAAAAATGAATCTTTTTGCAACCCAACTGATATGTGACATAGGTGTAAATTTATAATGAATGCTATACTACTTGCAATGTTATTCTCTTGTTGATAGGTATAAGCTTTAAATATATCTAAGACTTTGAGTTGTAAGTTCGAAATTTACAAAATTCGTATAACAATTATTAAACATGAACATTTTTTTTTTTTTAAGTATATTTTTATCCAGTCAAAGTCATAGTTTGTTATGACTGTTTCTGCAGGATCAAAACATACAGTAGTTACATACAGCTATAAATAATAATATATGCAGTATGCATTATAAAATACACTTCATGCATGATGATACGGATGCTTCACCAATAATAATAATAATAATAATAATTTCAATTTCAATTTCAATTTGTTTATTTCTCGCATGCGAAAATTTTTTGTACACTGCAGCGCCTTGTATACCTCTCTAGCTGCAAGCTATTTGAGAGGAAAACTTATATCTATTACCTTATTATACTATCTTTTACAGGTACATCGTATAAATCCATTTATTTTATTTTCAAATTAAATAATATTTAATAAACAACCATAATTTGAACAAAAACATTTTTTTTCCTTTTTTTATTTTTAGGTTTTTTTATTATTATATTTGACTATGAGTTTGTATGTTTATTATATATGCGTGTGTGTGTGCTAATAGTATTATGGAAATAGTTAATCCTGGGCCGGGCTGGTAGCCCCGTGTTAAAACACGGGCCGTCAATTCCTCTGTCACCCAGTTTCACCATTCCATATCATGTGTAAGTTTACATATACATGAGACAACCAAACACAATAATACTCATACTCATAAAATAATCATAAAACAACGAGTGATTAGCATTTTACAATACCAAAAGACTTTTTAAACAAGTTTGTGCATACAAATTTTAAACAACACATATGTATGAAAATGTACTTTTATGAATACAAACTAATAATATTTCCCTTATCCTGTCTCCTCACTTTGGGAAAAAAAGCAATACCAATAATCCATTCCAGTAATATTCCAAATATATTCCAATAATATATTCCAATAATATATTCCAATAATTGGAGTAATATTCCAATAATATTCCATCCCATTAATAATAATAATAATAATAATAATGTATCCTAAAAATTCCACATATTAAGAGTAAATTTTTGTTCTAATTCTAAAAATGGAGTGCATAAATATTTCTTCAAATAACTTATATTTGATAACTGAGCATGGATCTAAGTTTTTTTTTTCATTATATACATTACTGTATCAAATTATTAATACCAAGCCTACACAAGAGTACAAAGTAATTTTCTACTAGTATTCACAATATTACTATGAAGTCAAGTTAGGTTAAGCAACGGATGTTTTGGGTGTCTTAGACCAATTTCGCTTATATAGGCTCCGTTGAGCTATAGTATCATCACGGTCATCAGAGAAGATAAAGTATACTCTGCTAGCAGGAAATCCTGTCTGTCTTACAGTTTATTCACAATCATTATATTGGCAATTAAATTATTACTGTACTTAGTGGAACAGTAGATAAGATCAGAACAAGCTGTAATCCATGCAACTGATCAACATTTATAAGGTTGTATATTATCTGTCAGATAAATAGAACGATTAACAAGTGTGAACAAATCTGGATATCTTTTCGTTACTTATAATAGCAGCATGGAGTATGCCTCCGGATATTTCAAATTTATTTTCATGAAAAAAAAGTTATTGTAAGTGTTGTATAGGAATTCCACACTAATTGAAGCCGATGGGTGTAACTCTAACCGTAGATAACGCACACATTGCAAACATTAATATTGAGTTTATTTAATAAAAGCTACATCACGTCTCAAGTGAAGGTTGGAATGTGTACAAGAATACGAGCTGACAAGGTGAAGAAAACAAGAGAAGCTGCGACAAACAAAATGAGACAAGGGGTTGTCACCGGAGCGTGGCTGGCCGGTCACAAGTTAGATTAGGTTGACTTAAAAAGAGAAACATTTACATTAGTGGTCAGTTTATAAGGAGGTTAATTGAATTTATAATACTTCTATAGTGTGACAACTAGTTTACAGTATTAAACAAAATGTAATTAAGATAAAAATGTTGACTGTTTCATTTAAATAGTTTATTTAAAACATTGAACTAAATATGGTGGATCCAAATTACTATGGGGTGCGGGTCTAAAGTAAAGCCGTTGTCTTTTAAGGTTACATACAAAACAGCACTAATTAGCATGGGTTATAGATATTAAATTATTTTCTATTATTTGTGAACCGGTTTAATCATTGTAGTATAGGTAAAAAAAGATAATTTGTATAGCTAAGAGATTAATAGTTTAATAGTTAAATCCTACAAATATACTTTTGATTTGTTTCACTGACCTGTTAAGAGAGCGACAGACACAAAAGAATTGTTCAACCTTTTGAAACCAATTTAGCAGAGAGAAGCAAAGCTCTGTTGGATTGGTTTCAATGGAAACTTTCTTACCTCATCATGTAATAAATGCTGAGTGAGCCTAATGTTGGATTAAATTAACCAACTATTTTCTTAGTTAAATCAATAGGACATTACAAAAAAATTGTTTAAACAGTGCATTCTGAGTAGGCATACTTTTCATCATATTTCAAAATTGGAGAACTTTTTTATGACTATATCGTGTTTGCAGTAATTGGCATTTATATATCCAGAGTATTTTACCACTTTTTTACTTTTTCGTTTTATAAGAAAATACCTAATTCGTATTAATTAGGATAGCATAGTAAGGGCAATGTCCAAATTAACTATCAAAAACTTCCTGATACTGTACTTGTAAAACAATCAAGATGAGCAATAGGTCTAAACGGCCAAAACGCAAGAACAACAATTGCCTGAATTGCAAAATCTGTCTAAGATTGAGACTGGTAACTGATTGGGTTCAACCAGTGCTGTGCGTTGTCCAGTCGGCATTAGGAAGGAAACATAGATATTAAGTATAAAAGAAAAAGAATATGTATGTAATGCCCGCATTTTTACTTAACAAGTGATCGCTTCGCCCAACTGTCACTGTAGTAAAACGTATACCACTTACGTTCCACAAAACGTTTTCTAAAGTTCTGATTAAAAGCTAATAAACTTTACCAATTGGCCAGTAAGGCTCTATTTCATATTAAGAAAGTGAATACTCTGAGTTTTTTTTAACAGGCATAAAAGGGTAACTAAATAAGTCTTCCGGAATAAAATATAGCATTCCACCAAATCCCTTTTGATTATAAAGTTAGTAAAAAGTAACCCCGTCACAACAAACCTGCTGACTTGGTGCATTTCCATTTGCCTAATTAGATTATCACTAAAGATTACCTTAAACATGTTAGATTTATTCCCTATTTAACAATCAATAGTTACTTCACTAAAACACACGTTGAAACTGGAGCATGACATGTCGATACACACAAAATACTATATCTATCACTTATGAAGTATAACGAGAGGTCACAAGTAGACTGTATGGTCCTCTCGACACAGTACATTAGTGGTTGGAGGACACGGGAACTTTAATACTACAAGACAACCTAAAATTTCTGCTCAGCAATTATTACAAAGCTATTATTGCAAAGCCAAAGTGGACCTTGCCAGTTGGTGGTCACTAGTGATTAGAGGTCTCAATTCCGGGCCTTCAATCCAATCCCGGCATTTCGGGATTCGTCTCAGCTGATCCCGGGATCCCGGGATTATTTTGTCATTTTAACTTTTTAGCCATTTTAAATTAGCGTGAAGTCTGCTTGTTGAGTCCTCTACTCTTTTAAACTGGCCTTAACAATGTTACACTGCACAATTTTGCCGTTTTCTAAGTAAAGAAATATCTCAACACAGAACTTTCATCACTCTTCTCTCTTATTTACAGTCTATAAATGTCGATATGTCACTCTTGCATTAAATAAACACATTTAAAAAAATTAACTAAAGTTAAAAAAAATTAAAAATTACAAGCAACCGCACTCGCATGTAGTACATGCGGTACTACTGGTCGGTAGCGGCGTATCGTGTGACGTTTTGGTCAGTGGTCAAAACATTGACGTGATGATAGTTGTGACATGATGGTCAGTCGTTGGTGGCGTTGCGTGTGATGATCGTGGCCGCCAGCCAGTCTCGTCCACTATCGATTCCTACACAATAGCCAAGTCGAGAGTCGAACACTCGTCGTCGTCGTTGCCACGTAGGTAGTGTTTATCAATGACGTGACGTCACCCCCCCCCTCCCTCTACGACTGCGGCACGCCGTTTGCCGCTCGCCGCACGCCGCCCGCCCGCCGCACCAGTCAGACGCTCCGACTCGTGGATAACGGTGTTGTGTTTTGTGTGTCCGAATTCCTCAGCTCCAATATCATTGTTATCACATCTCAGCAGGGTAAGTAGCCTGCCTTGTGCCTATCTTTTGTTTTCGTTACCGTAGTCGTTTTGTGTATGAACTATGTCTGAGTGATATGATTTTAGGTACATTTATCTTAACTAATTCTAGTTTTGTGTGTTTATTTTTTAGCTTTTTACTTTAAGAGTATTTTTTGTGTATCGTTCTTCATCATCCAACTTTCAGTTTTATTGGCTACTATTTACATCTCAAGACTTTATGTTTTATATCATAGCTTTTGGTATGACGGTAGATATAATTTACCCAAATTAACATTGTGACTCTCTTATTGTTACCTACTGGAATGTACTCTGTCGTTTTCATATACTCCACAAGTTTATTTACAGAGTAGATTTGTTAGTAAAAACAAAACTGAGAAAACTTCCAACTTCTATAATTAAAAAATATTAGTAAAAAGCAATAAAGAAAATTAATTGTAAATATGTGTGTAAGCTATTCTTCAACTTGTATTAATTTAGTCTTTATCAAGTTTAATGTTCAAGTGTATTATAAATTATTTGACTGTGCTTTGAATGACCTTGTAATGTTATCAATTGATGTTGTGGAAACATTCCAACTGCCGAGTGCCGACAGAGCCACTATCTACCAGGCAAGCCCCAGGTTTACACGTTTGCTGATAAGAGACACAAACCTACAAATGCTGAGATAGCGGCGCTAATCAGTTAGATGTAATTACTCCTTCTACACTGTCTTCAGAATATTCGAGTCTCGTACAAATAATAACTCTTAATATCGTGTCTAGTGAAATCAGGACATTTATTTCTAAACTTGATTTTACAATCGCTGTATTAATAACTTAAAATGTCAACATATCAGGTACCGTAAAACGGGGTGACTTGAGCCCAGTGGGGTGACTTGAGCCCAAAACGCAAGAAAAAGTTTTGAATTTTCGTTTCAGAAAACCTAAATGATTTATCAAAAGGTTTTATATATCAATTTGAAGGTTACCTAATTAGCTTTCACCACAAACGATTCCAATTATTTTAACTGCCCATTTTAATAATTATAAAAAATAATAATGTTAACACGTCCGAATCTGAATTTCATTACGTTGAAAAAAGGTTATCGGCACAATGGGTATTTGCACTTAAATGAAAATAAAACTATTTTTCCCCATTTCATTATTTCCTTGACAACACAAACATGTTGAAGCATGTTTGATTATGTAATGGTTTAAGTCAGTATGACCTGGGTTTACCTTATCATGACCAAGTTTGGCAGATTTTGGGGTGACTTGAGCCCACCTGTGTTTAAGTGGTAACGTTTGTTCAACATGGTAACCAGCCTTCAACATCTACCAGCACCTTAACATCACCACCAGTAAAAAGAAAGTAAAAAGCAGCAGTGAGCAAAGATTCAGATACTAGCAGTGAAAGTGAACAAGAGAGTGTATATTCAGAGTATAGTGAGTTCGAAGAAGAATATTTTGATGATATATTAGAAATGCAAGCACCAGAAAAGGGAAGTAGCAAGAAGATAGAAACTAAATTAAGTAGCAAGAAAAATGAAAGAAAAATTTTTTCCAAGATAAAAGAAAAATGTGAAACAAAAACTAGTGCTTATGAAAAGGCTGCTTTGTCTTGGTGATGTATGAAGGCAAGTTTTTCCCTGGCATGATAACGGACATAGGTACCGGTACTGGTAATGCAGGGGAAGACTTTAAAATAAGTACAATGACCATGAGTGGTCCTAGTAATTGGAAATGGCCAGAAAAGGTAGATGAGTGCTGGTACAGCAAAGCAGAAGTTAAAGGAAAAATAGCAGCCCCCACACCCATTACCGCCAGAGGATCTTTTGCCGTTCCAGAAGTGGAAAAGTGGCGGTTAATGGACAAAGACATAAAGTAGAACAAGTGCTTACTAGTCTAAAAAGTGTGTAGATAAAAAACAATTTGTTATTTTTACATTTAGTTAGTCTATTAATGACTGTCAAAATGTCTATTGTGAAGTTTTCTATATCGGAGTGACGAATCGGTTCGGATTAACTAGAACGAGATGTTGGTAACATTTCATTCACAGAAAAAATTACTTTTTTATATTTTCAAAAATTGCTGGTGGACTTTTTCTGATTAATCATATTCATATCTTCAATATTTGGTAAGTAAAATTTGTTTAAATGTTTCTGTAAGTTTTTTATAAATTTATTACAGTTTCGACGAAAACTTTGTGTTTTGTTTTACACTTACCGTCATTAAACCTAAAAAAAACTGGAATTTTTAATCTAAAAAAATACCAAAATAGTCAGCTATATATGTGGGTTCAAGTCACCTCATGGGTCAGTGCAGTGGGTCTAGTGCATTAGAATAGCATTGAAATATATCAGCTGGGTTCAAGTCACCCCAACCAACGAGGTGACTTAAGCCCACCCATATTTTATTTTTTTTTTAAATAGTTACACTAACTTTAAAAAAACCTTATTCCACACATTTGTAGAATAGACCAAGACTAAGTTTACTGTAAAAGATTTATAAAAAAATACCTTATGGGTTTACTTTAATGAACAAGCAAAGTTCAAAAGTGGGCTCAAGTTGAACCCACCGTTTTACGGTAGTTGAAGTTTTAAAATAATACTATAATTGTTATAAAGCTTTGTTGGTACTGTGGTTGATTATCCATTGACACACGACACGCTGCTATCTGCTTGAAGCTTGTGCGCAACTGCCGGTGATGCGCAAGTGGAGTGCGCTTGTGCAAATAACGCACATTATCAAACGTGGCTGGCATAAAACTCAATAATCGGAATAGTTAAAACTTTATCCCGCATAAAGCTAGCTATTATTTATTGCCCGGTGGAACTCCTCATCAGTTTTGCATTTCCCAGGCAGGAGGTCGATTTTACATCTTGGCTGATGACCTCCATTCCCTCATATGATGATACTTTTTCCTTTGCATAATAGAACAGACAATCGATAATATGGATGTTTAACCAAGAAAAATAAACTTCCTACGGTGATTCACTTTTAAAAGTTGCTCGTTGTCAAATGTCGTTGGATAAAGAGATGTTTGGTGACTTGCACTGTTCAATTAAATTTAGTAAAACTTTTTTTCATTAGTCCGCGATACAAAGAGTATATTCGAAATGTTATGAATGTGAGATATTTTAGGACTGTTTAATTATTTACATTGTAAAGGTCCAAAGGGTTAACAAACTATTCTTGTCAAGCCAAACAACAGTTGAGTTTAGTTGACATGGAGATTGTCTGTGCTTTTATTGGTACAAAGAAAATAGTGACGTATTATTGTGTTGAGCCTTTTTTTAATGCACATGTATTACCTTTCAGGAAACAACCAGATCACTTAACGTAGTTTTCAATTTAAGTTTACGATAACCCCTGAATTATTGTCAGTAACTAAAATCCAAACATAATATTTAGAGGCTCATTATGAATTTGATCAATTAATTTATCTATAACATGCTCTTTTGATTTCAACAGTATACTGTAACTCTAAAACCTTGGCCTATACGATTACACTGAATATATCTCTTCTAAGCGAAGGATTGTCACAAAGCCATTACCTAAGCAAGTAACAAGGTCCGGTCATGAAGTCCATGCTTTAGCTCTGTATACCCTACAATCAACGTATCAAGTTTAGGTATTACCATTGAGTATAAACGTAACATGCGACTCAAACCGGTCACCTGAAATTGATCACTGTACATAAATATACGTTTTTGTACACTACGCACAGGTGTAAGGTCTGTTTTCCTAAATTACAATAGTTATTTGTGTAACTAGTGAATTGTTTCCCACAGTTACTATAAACCATATAAATAATTAGTCTTTCAAAGACTTTACAACAAGCTTTTAGGTTAGGTTAAATCCAAATATTGGACGAAATGGGAAACGCTACACCAACAGATCGTAGTCGTAATATCTTCAAGTGTGGCCAATTTATTTTCAAGCGTACACGGATTAGTGCATAATAAAGTCACGCTGTTTTGTGTTGTTTGGTTGGAATACTGGTGTGTGCCAATGTAAAAACTGTGCGTCAGAGTAAAAACTGTGCACCAAAGTAAAGCTTTCTGTACTATAATCTGTGCAAGGAAGCCCACTTTGTCGGGTGACTGTAGGATGGTGAAAGACCATCTCTCGGTTAAGGTAATATGTACTAAATACTACGAAGTAAAACAATTTGACATTTGTTTTGAGTAACTTTTAAAAATACATCAAATAAATTGAATAAGTAAAATATACCCATTGTTATAAAATATTTGATTGCTGAAGGGTTCGTATTAACTTCAGATTAGCTGTGTGATAGAAATAAATGGTTCCATGAGAATAAATAGCCTCGATAGCTTTGAAAGCGAATGGAGCGAAGCCCTAAGGACGTGATAAATGTAACTTATATAAACGGTCGTCTTATAAATATAAGACAACCTCCTATAATTTCCTCCTATAATTTATTGATTGAAAATTGCAGTAAAGATTTTTTATTTTAAAGGTATTTAATTTGTATAGGTAAACTACGTAAACATATTCAGTTTATGAGACGTTGAGCTGTTGAGCTGGTGAATTACTATAGTGTTATACTTGGGTAATGCATAGATGAGGCTAGCCCACTGTACATCGTGGGTTAGCGTGATCACATCGCATGTTAGAGCCGTGTTGAGCTCTTTTGTGCGGCTAATTCATGTTTTCGCAGAATAGAACACGTTCGATGAATGATTGTATAGTATGGACTCTGTTAAAGGAATTTACGTTTAATAGTGACCTTGGCAAGTTTGGTACCTACGTGTAACTAGAGACAGTAATATAAAAATCTATTGATGTGTATTCAAAGTAGCTTTACGGTCTAAATAAGTAAAAACGTCGTCTTCCACGTCAGAAAATTATCAGAAAGAGCATAATTCAATCGGTTCTTCATGGATCTGTATTCATATCAACACTGCATTGATTGACAATCATAATATTGATCATTATTTTCAACAATGCGACTTTTATTGACTGGTGTCGTCTATGGAACAACATCACCTCCTGC